AAATTAATTGCCGAAGTGAATTGTCTGCATTGTTTAGATGTTGATATTAAATGATCTGGAAATTGTTTAAACATTTTATATTTATATATATATGTATATATGTATGTATATATGCACGCAGATTAGTATTGAAAATGAATCAAATCTGTAGAAAGACACGCCTATAATAGTAAATCAACTCAGAGCACCTCATAAACTACAGCAGATAAATATAGATAAATATCAATATATATTCTTTAACTGATTATGCAGTACATAAACAAAAACGGGAGGAATATTACAGTGTATAAATATTTAATTTTCTTTTAAACAGCGTGGTAACTGCGGTAAACATTCTCCTGCTTGCAAAACTCAAGGCATTGTCTAGAAATTTACAAAAGAATCTGAAAATGTCCCAAACTTTTCAAGGGACACGGCTACGCGAAAAAAAATTAGGAGCAACTTTGCTTTTCGTGTTTTTCATTCGTTAATCATAAAGTGCTCATGCACATGCACCATATAAATCTCCATTTTTATTCTGAATATAGAGAGAATCAACCGCGTCCAACCAATGGTATAGACATATGCATATATAGAAGATAGGTGTCTTGTCTTTAATTTAAAAATATTTTGCAATTCATAAAATCCTTGCTTCTGAGATCTTCATTTCATTTCATTTCATTTCATTTCAGATGAGACATTTCGACTTAAACTTTGTACTTAAAAGTTTTACTCCTGAGCTAGTAAATCTGCTCCATTTTAATGTTAATAAGATTAAGTGAAGAAAATTAAATGAATTTTTATTGTTGCCGATCTAGAGTGCCTATTCCGTGTGTATTATTGAATCAGCGCGAGTAGTCGAATAGATAGGAAAAGTGTCTAGTAAGTCAATGTTCACGCGGGTTCAAATCTCAATCTCCGTAGAGTTTACCTGCGTCGTAGCTTTAATAAGTGTTCAGTCGGCAAAAGCACAATGGCACAAAGCACTTACTCGGTATTACTCCCTTATTTCTTTCTTTCTTTTTCTTTGTAGTTTTGTCTCACCGCTGCCGCGATACGCGAATAAAATATATCTCCTGAGTGATTGGTTCATATAGGAAAAAGAAAAAAGAAGTAAAAATAATAAATAACTTTTAGTTTAAACTTTATATGAGGATTCCTGAGAGGGAGCGAAAAAGCGTACGTTATCAATGAGGATGTGTTAATGTTATCAAAACTTCCTTCAACTCTAATATAATTATAACAGTTCATTCGAGAAAATGTACTTAATATGTATATAAGATGTTGCTTTCCTGTTTTTTTTTAAAAAAAAAAACTTTTTTAAAATCTCGCAAGATTCAATAAGAAGCGGACAGATGGTTAAGAAGGCTGTAAGCTATAGGAATTGATTTCTGACGAACTTTTGAAAGTATTTCTATAAACGTAATGATGCAATTACTTAAAATCGTAGATTTCTAATGATTATGATAACGATACGATATAATGATGACGTAATTTGATGAGTGTGCGTACCGACCTGGTGTTATTTCTCAAAGCAAATTAGGGATTTGTAAACATTCGTCTTAAGATTTCTTTTATAATGTTCAAAGTTGCTAAGAAGATGGCCAAGATGATCGGACAATCCTTATAAGGTGGATTTAAAGTGGACACTGAGGACACTGTAAATGCTTTTCCAATGCACGTGCCTCCAACCATTTAATTAATCCATCCATTAGAAATAATTAAAATTAACCTTGAATTTTCTCCTTAATGATTTATCAAAATAATTTATAATATCTCTTACGAAATAACCTACAAAAAAAAGAAAATATATCTCAGTGACGTTTTCTCAGTATACTTTGTTGTGTGCGCCATAATATTCTTTAATGATCTAACGATATAAAGAAACACAAAAAATGTATAGAAACATTTATGGCTAAATGAAAAGAAATGCTCGACCTTTGGATAAATAAAAAGTTTTGTTTATAATTGAGAGAAAGATTGAATTGATGGCGAAAACACTATCGAAGCATCGACAGATAGATAAATAAATAAGCGAACAAACATATCTTTATATTTATATGCGTTCAAATATTTGTTATTCTGTGTTTAATTGATTAAAACAACAAATTCGCTAATAAATAGAATATAAAACCTAAAACTGAAAGCAAAAACAAAACAAAACAATATATATATATATATAATATATATATATATATAATATATATATATATATATATATACTATGTCATATATAATATATATATAATATATATGTATATAATATTTATATATAATATATATATATATATATATATAAAATATATAATATATATATATATATATATATATATAATTATATATATGTATACTTTATTGACAAATTAATATTCAACACCATTAGGAATGAACAAAAGTAACGAAGCGATTTTATTAAGCACATTAATAATATCTCACGGTCTTAATATATGATTAAAATCGCATAAATAAAAACAGAAGGTATCGTACTAACTAACATTAATTGAAAACGGGCAAGAGCGATTGAGAAAAGTTTTAATAAAAATGTCCTGCTGCGGTCAAATTACTACGATACGGCCACCTATTGACATGGCCAGTCAGAGCGATGTTTTAAAGGTAAATTCATTATGCGTTGGCGATATGTTGTTGTTTCTTGTTTGGTAATGAACCTCGATGACTTTTCGTTATGTGTTTTATTTTAAAATTAAATTATTTTGGTTTTTGTTTCCTTTAGACCTTTTAACGTTTGCTTTCGTTTTGTTTCGAAAACTTTTTTCTCATCATTATTCTCTTTTTTTTCATTCAACGTAATTTGTTCGTTCAGACACAAAAAATGTGTTTTCTGTTTTTAATTTTCTTTTTAATTTTAGATAAAATATGATCCTCTACAAGATTTAAATCATCGGGTAGGCTAATACGTCTGTGCTACAGGCATAAATTCGTGATTTTCACATATTTTCGTAACCAAACTGCACATACATATGCACTTATCCTCTTAGTATATATATATTCGTACGTTCAACTCAGTCTTTGATTTGATGTCCCTCATGATTTGAAAGTTTCTTTCCTTTTTCTTTCAATTCTCATCTCTTTCGTTTCTCTTTGTAAAATATATCCTGAGCATTAAAATGAAACATTTACAACGCATACGTACTCGTTTCTTTTCAGACATTTCCCATTTAATCATTATCATTATCCTAATGCGCTACAATTTATATATTTCAGTTTGAGTTTAAACTCCTCGGTCGATCGTTTCATTTTTTTATGTCTTTTTTTTCTATTGTCTCAGTCGTACGAATGTATTGATCAATGGGTTCATTATCGACTTGATATGTTAGTACGATATATTGCATTTAGACATTGGACAAGTCAGTTTATCATTCATAAAGTACAAAGCATATCAATTCTATCATAATTGCTTTCAATCAGTGTGACTGATTGACAGAGATTGGATTCAAGGTTAAATTGTGACTTTTCGCCAGCTGGTAGAACTTACATACGAAGCGGACGAAGACGCGACGAAGGGCACTAGGCGTAGGTCTAAGATATGCATTTTGAATAATACGTTGCAGCTCTCGAAGGCTGGAAGACTTCAATTGGCGAAATGCCTATATTCAATACAGCGGGAAGTGAAATGGTGAAAGCTTAAGAAGCAATAATACCTGAACACCGTTGTTTTATTACCTTCAAGACGAAGATTTCATGTGATCTATAACAGAAATAAATAGTATTTATAAATGCTTAAGAAAAATTTCGAGAAGCGCGCATACCCCCCCGGCGTATGGGATCCTTCAAAAGATGAGCTTGCCAATTCCTTTGATTTTTTTACGGTTATGCACGTAACATCATACTCTTTGATATTTCTCTTGCCAAATTCCATCATTTGCTAACGGGATAAATGGAACATATACTACGTATTATTCAGACATTTGATTGTTCGGTTAGGTCAATTAACATATCGGCAACAATGAGATATAGCCGCAAAAATGTTGGAACTGAAATATATATGATATTATGATCGCATGAGATACACAAAATCTGCGAGCAACGTGCGATTTAAATTGCGAAAAGACTTGTGCTCTTGTGTCTATAAAACTGCATTGATTGCAAAATTTGAAACAGAAGGATTATAATCCCGGAAATAATTTGTAAAATCGTTCATAATTTTGTAAAATTTTTTTCACCAATGTTGGTCTGTTGCTGTTGATAAGAGGATTCGCTTAAAAACTAAAATTCGTGTGATTCATACAATTTCGGTAATTTGCTGCCTTACAACAAAAATTAATAAGTTATTTCTACGGAATTTTTGTCCCAGCCATCAACCATTGTTTGGCATGCGGTTTGAAGGAGGTAACGAAGTTTGCCATATACCTCGCGAATAATAGATTCAATTACTGAGAAGAAAGTTTAATAAGAATGTTTAATGAATGTCCAACTATGCCTAATGGCATGATGTGAAAAGCTTTAGGGTTTTTTTTTTATAGAAATTCGTTGAAATCTTAACCTTCATGGCTGAGAATTCGCTATCAACTTTTTTTTTATTTTTTTTAAATGGCTTTTTTTTTTTTTTTTTTTTTTTTTTTTTTTTGTAAAAGAGCAAACGTCGAATCACAGGCCACCCATTAACGTTGTGCTTTCATTAATATGTCAAATGTAACCAACTGAAAAATGACAAAAAAAAAAAAAAAAAACCAAAATATAAATCGCATTTAGAAAGCCGTGTGATAAACGCAAGTGTCTATGGAACGAATAGTTGAAAAGCTTTTTGTACCAAAATTGAATTTTGTACAGGTGGTGTACGATAATCAAATGCTAAGATCTATTGTGGCTTTTATGTATATGTACAGAGTTTATGATTATTAAAAAATCAATTCTTTTAAATGTAAATAAATATCGCTCTTTGACGGCATGAATGAATAACTCGGATTTGTCGCCCTTCTACGTGCACAAATCATGCATTTCTTTAGATTCATTGTCGTTTCCACAATTTTTTTCTTTTTACTCGATTCGTACACTCCGTTTAGGGTCCAGATCAAATTCATGTGTCTAAGTTCTACAAAGAGTCGAAAAACGGTAAATTTGTCAGCTACATCGCGGAAAGTGTGCGCACTTTATATCAGACATTTCGCGAAGGTGCATATACTTCCAATAATGGACCTTGTTTGGGATGGCGCGAAACTTTAACGTCGCCTTACCAGGTAACAAGCATTGTATTTTAAAGGCGATCCATGTATAAATATAAAATATATATACATATATATATGTATATATATACATATGTATTTTGCAGTGGATCAATTACGATGAGGCGCTCTTGAGGGCTAAAAATTTTGGTTCGGGTATGATCGCTTTGGGTGCTCGCCCTAGGGACTTGATCGGCATATATTCACAAAATCGTCCTGAATGGATTCTTTATGAGCAAGGTTGTTACTGTTTTTCGCTGGTAGTGGTACCACTCTATGACACCTTAGGACCAGATGCCTGTGCTTTTATAATAAGACAAACAGAAATGATGATGGTTATCGTTGAGGATGATAGTAAAGCAGCTCTGCTATTGGAGAAAGCCCCGCGATCATTAAAAATACTTATAACGATTAAACCTGTTAGACCTATGACCTTAGAGAATGCTCGCAGTCAAGGTATACAAATTGTCTCCTTTATCGATGTGGAAAAATTGGGAGCCAAAACTAATAATGCGGAAATTCCACCCACCGTCGACGACTTATGTACAGTATGCTACACTTCAGGCACAACCGGTAATCCGAAAGGTGTGATGTTAACTCATGGAAACGTTGTGGCCGGCGTATGTGCGGTGATTCTGCAGTTAGGTAGTTTTCGGATTCTCTTATATCAGCCGTATTTTTTGCTTCATATTTTATAATTAACATTCAATATTATATTTAGGTGATCATCGTATACGATGTGGTGATATTATGATGTCGTTCCTACCGTTAGCGCATATGTTTGAGCGTTGTTGTGAAAACGGTATATATTATGTGGGCGGTGCCGTAGGTTTCTATTCGGGCGATATCAAAGAATTGACGAACGATCTAAAAATGCTTAAGCCCACAGTAATGCCAGCCGTTCCACGTCTCTTAAATCGCGTATACGATAAAATACAAAATGACATCGCTGTTTCAACCCTTAAACGTACAATATTTAATATGGCGCTAAAAGCTAAAGAGAAAGAAATCTCCAAGGGTATCTTGAGACGTAATGGTTGCTGGGATAAATTGGCATTCACGAAAGTACATCAAGGTTAATTGCTCTTATATCTTTTTTTCGTCAATAGTTTATGATCGCTTTGTGATTTTAGCTTTTGGTGGCAATTTGCGATTGATGGTCGTAGCCTCAGCTCCTTTAGCTGGTAATGTGCTAACATTTATGCGTTGTGCCCTGGGCTGCTTAGTGGTCGAGGGTTACGGCCAAACTGAATGCACTGGTGCTATAACACTGACTGTTCAAGGTGATTTTGTACCTAATCATGTGGGCCCTCCAGTCTCCTGCAATGCCATTAAGGTGATCTTTGCATAATATAGTCATAAATATAAAATTCTTGATATATTGTTCCTTATTTTAGTTAGTAGATGTGCCTGAAATGGAATATTATGCCAATCAGAACACCGGCGAAGTGTGTGTAAGAGGCTCTAATGTGTTCCATGGGTTAGTTGTTCTATTAAAAAAATATATTTTTCGGAATTTGATTAAATAATTAAGAATAAATTTGAATATTTAAGTTATTATAAAGATCCTGAAAAAACTGCCGAAGCTATCGATCCAGAAGGCTGGCATCATACTGGTGACATAGGAATGTGGCTACCTAATGGCACGCTGCGTATAATTGATCGTCGAAAGCATATCTTCAAACTCAGCCAGGGTGAATACATAGTGCCTGAGAAAATTGAAAATATTTACACCCTCAGTCAATATGTCAATCAGGTATTCGTTTACGGAGAAAGTCTTAAGGTATTGTTCAGATGGGCATTGCATATTTTATATAATTTTTATTGATATTTTATATGATTGCTTGTTTACTTTTGCCAGAGTTGCATTGTGGCCGTAGTAGTGCCGGACGTTGATGTGTTAAAACAATGGGCTTTCGAAAATAACGTACGTGGCACTTTATCAGTACTATGCAATAATAGGCAAGTGAAGGAACTGATAATTAACGATATGCTAAAGTGGGGCAAGCAGAGCGGCTTAAAATCATTTGAACAGGTTAAATCTCGATTAATTTGAATGCTTACTAATATATGAATAACATTGTTGCTTTTTCTACATCTTTTTAAAGGTTAAAGACATTTATTTACATCCCGATCCGTTTTCGGTACAAAATGGCTTACTAACGCCCACATTCAAAACTAAACGGCCTCAATTAAAAAATTACTTTAAACCGCAGTTGGAAGATATGTATAAGAGTCTAGATTAAAACTGGTCAACACCTTTTCGTTTTTTATGTTTCCTACTTGCTAATGAAGCCTGTTTCAGTTATTGCGACTCGGAGGCCGAATTCAATTATTTGTTACAAATCATGCTAACGCTTAAAATTATTGTGGATGATCGAATTTGGAAGGATAATACCAAATTTATTATTGATAAAATCAAAAGTAAACAGTGATCGCTTATAAGAACATAACATATTACGACTATTCGTTTTATATTAGACCGTAAATTAGGCCTCAAATTTTGTTTTTCGTTCCTTTTGTTTTTATTTTTTATTTCTTCTAATGTCGGAAACTAATTTTATTTAAAGAGCTCCAACCTAGCAAAAAAAAAAAAAAAAAAAAAAAACAAACAAAAATATTGTAAAAATTACAACAAGAAAGTTAGTGCAAAAAAATTTTTTTATTCCTTAATCACAAAACAACACACTAATAAACCTAAAAAGAATAATATCTCACCCTTTATAAACAAGCAATAAAATGGATAAGAAAAATATAAATAATATAAACAAATTCAAAACAAGTTTTTAGTTGAAATCAAAATAAAAGAGAACAAAATATTAAGTTCATAAAAATTCTCTTGAAATAACGAGAAGAATTAATATTGAAAATAAGACAAGAAAATATATGTACAGCAGAAAATGCCACAGATGAAAATAATGAAAATTATGAAAAAAAGGTTGAACAGGATTTATTTAACAAAAAAAAAAACAAAAAACAAACTAGTTTTTAGCAGTAGGACATTTATTATAAAAGCAAAATTTTAATTTTATATAAATATGTATGCATAAATATACGAATATATGCATAGATATGTATTAAAGATATGCATGAGTGTGTATGCATAGAAATACCAAAGCAGTAAATATCAAATCAGTTCAATTATGAAACTTTTTTATATAAATACATTAAGCATTATGTAGAGAAATGCGTCTTTATTTTTATCCTGCAAAATTAATGCAAATATATATATATATATGTATATATATACATATATATACATATATATACATATACATACATATATATACATACATACATAAAGCATTTTATAGTAAATATAAACAGTACAGTAAATCGAGAATTCAAAACGACATCTTTTATAGTACGTAGAAAATTTCAGTCAAATGAAGAACTATTCATTTTAACGCGCTTTGCACCCTACGATCGAAGAATGTTTCTATTTGTAACGATTAATTTTTCTATTCCCCTATTGCCAAAGCAAGCGAACAGTCAATGGGCATCGTGAAATACTCTGAGAAATTTAATTTTATTCTCAGCATTCTGAGCATTTTGTGGTGCAACCTTTTGAATGTATATTAAAAGGTGACCTATGGATTTTGTTTTTGTCACTTTTTCATTTGATTCTTTGAAATAATAAATAATGTAGCATAGTTTGTGGAGATAAATGATATGTTACTGAACTGCATATAAATGCGCATATTTATGTTTCAGGAAATTTTTTTTTTTTGCTATTTCGTTCTTCACCATTTTAAAATTGCACACTTTTATATTGAAAATAGTATAAGAGTGGAAAAGCTACCTTAAAACCGCTATTTTCGTATATGTGTTTCGTAGGTATAGACCTGGTACCGTCTGTGATTGTTGTTGCAAATTCTAATTTTTGTTTACATTTGTCATGCACGTGCTATTGTTCACAATTCAAAAAATTTTTTTATTTCATTTTTATATCCTACACCACTTGTGACATAGAAGCGCAGAGACATAATCACCTTTTATTATACCGATATATTCAGAATTATTTTCTGAATCGATTTAAGCTTGTCTGTTCGTTTGATGTCTCTTGTTGTAAATTTGTGTTCAATTTAGAGGTCGCAATTTTTGAGATATTTTGATGAAATTTGGTACATTGATGCGTTTTGACCGAAGAACGAGTGCCATTGGAAATGGTTTGAATCGGTCGACTTTTTCAACCACTCCCCATATAACGTTCTATTTTGAAAAGTCGTTATATGAAAAAAAATTGCATTTCTCAAAATTTTTCGACAAAAGTGGCTTACTAGTAGTATTTCGGTATTCTAAATTGCTATGAAAACTTTGCACTGGCTGGGGCAATGTTCGAACCTCCTCTTATATAACGAAAATTGATATTCATATGACAAAAAGTGCCAATTTTCAATGGTCCATGATGAAAATCAGATCAATAGAGTAGTTTAAGATTAAAAAAAGACTGTGTCAAATTTGGACCATCTTGGTTTATTTTTCGGATCTTACCCTATATATAGATTTTCATGAAAATTGGTCCTTTGCAGGGAAGAAAAGTGTAAATTTTAATATATTAAGAGAAAACTTAACCTATAATAGTAATTTAAGATAAAAGAATTCGCTGTACCAAATCTGGACCATTCACTCCAATTTTTGGATCCTACCTATGCAAAAGTTCTAACGAGCACTTTTGTCTTTTAGGGCAGAAAGGTCTACGTTCGAATGTTCTATGATAAAAATTAATCCATAATAGTAGTATGATATAAAAATTAACTATGCTGAATTTTGAATACAACACGCAATACAATATACAATTTTTGAACCTCTTTTGTGTTCTGCCAAAATTAAAAATTGTGCTAGAGAATGGGATGTAACGTATTTAATAATCGGCCCAGCCCGACTATGATGTTTTCATTTGTTATTTTTTTTTAATTTTTAAATCTTTTATGAATGAAGGGATTACGTAAGATCAAAAAAATTAATTTGGTAAAGTTTCCGTGTGAATTCGTGCCCTCTTGACATGAAAAATGATAGCGCTTTCGATTATCTTTATTTATCTGAATAGTGTGTAGGATGTACAGCGTTTTGTCCCGATTGGTTTTTTTTAAACGAATCACTTGATTTTGCCGCTTTAGTCTTTCACTTACTTGTACTGTAGGAGCTATGAAAGGGCAGTAACATTATTTTTTCGACGTACGTGTCAATACTACCGAGATCTCTCTATGCTTTGGTTTATTTCAAGCAGTGAATATGAACGAGTGCCATTTGCTAGCGAATGATACTGCCTCGCCATTGATTTGCAATCGACATTTTTTGTGGTTTTCGGTAAATTTAAGAAAAGTTTTAAAATAAATCACATTCATTAGTTTTAAGATGACATTGTCACCGTACTAATAGCCGTCGTGTTGGCGAGTGCTGTGTATATGTTGTGAGAACCTTCTTTTAGATGAATTTTGAAGAATTGCTAATATCAAGAGATTGATTAAAATGGGGTCAATCGTCAATTTCCGAAACCGAATTATTAATCTAAAATTTTCTCTGGAAAACTTGGACATCGCGATTTTTTGGACTTGATAAAACAGGAATAACATATAAATAGCTGAACGGTTGACCCGAAAATTCCATTTTAGAAGCAAACGCGTTAAGAACTTATGTATGAAAAGATGTAATGCATTAATAGTTCTCATCACGTAAAAATGACACCATAAGATATCAATAAAAGGTGGCAATAAATCGGTGAACTATTCTCGAATTTACTTATTTCTCGTTTTTAGTTTGTTGTTTTTTTTTTTAAAGATCAAATTATTTCATCATAGGTCTTAACAATTAAATACCATACAGAAAGTGTAATAAAAACATATTAAAGCTTTACTAATTATTAAATAGTAATTATATATATATATATATATATATATATATATATAAATATGTGCATATATATATGTATATACATATATATATATATATATATATAAAAAATACAATAATCAGAAATTTAAAGAAATGTTGTCTACATACATAAAATATATTTTGAATAACAAACAAAATATACTTTAATAAAATTTCTGTTTTCTCTTTCTCTTATATATAAAATCTCAACAATTATCAATAAACCTAATAAAACAATAAATTAAGTTAACTTTTTTTATACCCACTACCGCGGAGCATGGGGTATAAAAATTTCATCATTCTATACGTAACGTTCCAAAAATACGAACTAGAAAAACATTATATTATAAATACATATTTAATTAATTGAAAATTTTAACTCGATTTACTCAAATTTTATGTAAGTCTATTGCGCTAGTTTTTATGGAAACTCAGCCCTGCGAGATGTGCTTTTAATTAACTTGTTTAAATGAACTTCTGTCTAATAATAGGAGAAGATTCTACGGCCGTTTGTACTTCCTTTATGATTATATTCGGACCTTGATTTGATTTGAAGAAATTTTTTTTTTATCAAATTATGGATTAATTGTCTTAAGGCGATCTTATAGAGATGTGTGTACATGGACATTGTGAGAGAGGAGAGTTAACGCATTTTAACAAGCCATTGTTTTTTAGATGGTAGTATGATTATGTTGATAAAATGGCTTATCATAAAGCCAATAAAATCAGATAACTTACAAATTTGACAAGTCACAGGAAATCGGACATTTATATATATGGTTATTTATTATATTTATGGCCTTAACGTTGACCGATTAGGCATACGTCAATTAGACTGCGATTGCTCCCTATTTTTTTTCTGTACTTCCTTCTGATCCTCGCGTTCTCTACGGCTAGGAGACGTCCCTTATGTGATTGAAGTTTCTACACTATTAATTTCTTTCTAGATTGTGTCGCTCTTCGAGTGGCAGCCTTTTCATCTTATTTAAACGGTCGAGAACGTTTCTCTTAACATACGAATGCTGCCAAGTTCGCAAAAGAATGTACTAGCTTTTCTTTCTGGTAATGGAACTTTCGAAGAACAATTGTAAGTAAATCAATCGTTTCTACAAATGTACATATCTATCTAATTATCCATATGAAGATGTTTTTTCAATGGTAAAAATATTTCTTTCCGATAAGTATTGGTGGCATCTTTGCTGTGCTCTATATAGAACTCGGATAAAGTCTTCGGCAAAAACGATGTAGATTTCATGCAGAATTGGCTTCATTCTCGTATAACATATGCATAAAGAAATGTTTTTTGCTTTCGTACGTAACGCAAAAATCTGACATCATTTACACAACTGTACGGAATTGCAATAATGTGGGTTTGGAATGAATTCAACTCCATACAGAATTGCATTTCTTACTGCGATATGTATAGTGTAGAGTGCATTAAAGAGTCGCTATTATTGGTCGAGTTAATAAGTATGCTTTTCTAAGTTTTCCAATTGTCTTTATTGAGTAATTCGATTTTGGTAATTGATTTATAAACAAAAACCAAAAAAGTAGGTTTTCCTAATTCTCTTAAGAAAGAAAATTGATAGAATAATATCAATCGTGTCTTTAAAAACGAGAAAAAAAATTATTGTGAAATAAATTAACGAAAGGCAACACCGCACCTATTCTCGTGTGGTCAATTTCCGTTTCGAAAAATCATGTTTCGAGAAAAACGCTTTTGCAATTTTGCACTCTATCGTTAACATGTTTTTTTATTATAAGCAATTTTTTTTTTTATTATTTTAGTTTGTATTGTATTAGTCTGCAATCCCAGGACTATGCAAACACCCTTCCGTCTTCAAATATTCCTTGTTATTATTCTCTTTCCCCGACCATTGTATATTCCGAACTGACGGAGACAAAAGCAATAGCATCTGTACTTCAAAAATCCACTTCGTAATCATCATTTAAACTTTTAATTTTGTGCCAGAAATACTGGACGCTTTTCTATCGCTCTCAGCCTCATTCCTCTTCAAAGGCTGCCTCCATGAATCTATACTAATATATTTTTGCTTGGAATTGCTTTTATATGAACATAAATCCAAACACATCTCTTAGTATGTGAAAAACCTTAGAAAGTATCAGGCATAGCATTAAGCTGTAACTTTCCAGCAGGTGTTCATAGTACATAGGTGGTCTATTTTGAAACAACCACGAAGTTTGGAGAAAATAATTTTTTCGTAGGTAGGATTTTTTTTTCATATTCTAGAAAATTTAAAGATTTGTTAAGCAATAAAAGTTTTTTTTTGTTGAAACGTTTATTGTGCTGTTACTCGTTAATTCTAGTCCGTAGAAGCTTAGATATTGAACAAAAGTTCTACAATTGAAATATGCGACTAACTAAAATTATATATAAGTTTAAGGTTAATGAACCAACAAACATACCAACCTTAGGTATACATATACGCGCATCGTAAGTGATGTGTTATTTCATGTACTATTTACCCCTTTACAATTTGCGTAAAAGAAAACAACAACTAATATTACGTTATAGTTGGGCAAGGCCAACCGTTAGGTACCCTACACCATTATTCACTCGTTCCGATAAGATTGATTTCTATGTTATTTTATTATGTTATCAACCAGTTTTCACCATGAAGTATCGAAATTTATATCTTTTTACTTAAAGATGTAGTCTTCGTAAAATCGGTTATATGGGAGAGAGTTCAAGAAATTACCCGAATTAGCCGGATCATAATTTTTTATACCAGTTTAGAATGTCCGATACTATTACAGAGCGACTTTTGTCGAGAAATTTTAAAAATTGCAATTTTTTTTCCATATAAGACTTTTCAAAATAGCGTGTTATATGGGGAGTGGTTTAAAAAGTGAAACAATCTAAACCATTTTCAATAGCATGCCCCCTTGGGCCAAAGCACGTCAGTGTAGCAAATTTCATCACAGTATCTCAAAATTGCAACCTGTAGATCGAGCACAAAAGTAGGTGCATAATAAAAGATGGGCCTATCTTAAGCACTTGTGGCTGTTACGTACGTACGCACAAACTTAATATATCCTGTACCTCAAGTGATGCACGATCTAATTAATAGATTTTCGGATAGATGCCCTATGCAGTTGCCGACTGCATCTCCTAAAGGGCTTTATAACCCAAAAGCGACCTAATTGCTAATGTTTTGCGATGAAAATTTGTTCGTCTTAGTAATTCAATGTTCAGAATTTAGTGGACCCATTACTTGGACCCCAACCCGTATCAGATTTCTTGTGAATAGTAGGCTCTTTAGAGAAAGGTTGAAATGTTAATATTTTACGATAATTATGATGATTTCCTTAGTAGCAATTGAACAGAAACCATTCACGGAAATTTGGGTCACATACGTCAGGTTTTTAGAGCCCATCCCGTATAAGAAGAAGTCCCATGAAAAGTAAGCACTTATATGGCGAGAAAGACTAATTTCAAGCTTTTTATTAAGTAAAATGAAAAATAATAAAATTTTTAGTAAGCAAACTAAGTTTGTCAAACTTGGATCGTGTCGGACGCTATGCAATATGCGGGCATTCATGAAAGGTATGCCTTTGGACGAAAGGAATGCGCAATTTTTGGTACATTATTACCAAACCGAACGATAACTGTAATGGATGGGATGCGGTTAGGTATATAGTGGTGGATCTGCCCGAATTTAATGCTCTTAATTTTTTTTCCTAATGAAGTGTCATGACATTGACATACCTATATTCGCAGTTCGCAACTGTCACGAAATTGAAAACGGTATCCTTTGTTAAAAGACTCTAACTTTAACTTCTCTTTTGCTATGTTTTGCTCGTCTTTCCATCTCTTAAACTAACGAAATTGAGCTTAAAATATAAATCTCTTTTCGGAAAATATAAAGTTTCAGTTGTTAAAATGTTTGGGCTGCTTGCGTAAATTAATTATTTCTTTCGAGCTTGATTACATGTTTGTACAAAATTGGTTGCTTATTGGATGCTACGTTATTATTAATAGTTTATATATGGGATCGTATTTGCTTGTGAGTAACGATTTATTGAATAGATTAAGCAGTATTCTTTCGAATAGCAGCCAAGAGAAACAACAAAAATTCGGTCCCCATAAAGAAAGGAGCAAAGAGATAAATTGTATATAAATTGTACATGTTCGTGGTAGATGGCGATGATAATTTGGCATTATATGTCCGACCGCCTATGCAATTGTAATATATGCTGTTAATACAAGTAAAATACAGCAAACTACTGCTATAAATTGGTTTACAAATTGACATTACGTTGTTCATTAATCGAAACATCGTCTGAGTCTGAGTTTGCGCCGTAAGACTTGAATGCTGCAAATTGTTGAATATTTGAAAGGATTTTTCACCGTCATTCATTCATTAGTACGAAGGACTATTACAAGGATCGTTGCTTGGAGACCTTTTAAAGGCAGGATTGTGTATAGCAGTGCTTTTTATAAGAAAGAAAGAAAGAGAAAAAAAAAAAAAAAAAGATAAAAAAACAAGAAAGAAGGAAATTATTAAGAATAAAGAATCTCTGAAATTTAACTTCAGAACAAACACACATAATCATTCTTTAATAATAATGAAATCTTTACAACTGAAAGCAACCAACAGCCAAATTTGGTTGTCTCTCGTCTACAAGCTCATGTTATCAATTTGTATAATTATTTCATTAATAGGTAAGAAAAAAAATATTATCGATAGTATGATTATAGATAGTATTATTATGATTTGATCAAAAAAATAGATGGTTGTGTTGTTTTTTTTGTATTCTTAATCTAAAGAAAAATAAGAAAAACGATATTAATTGACGTAATATAATGTCAATAGTCGTTTGAATTGCTTGCAATAGTATGTGAGGCTTAAGGCAGTTCAAGTGGACAAAATCGATATTTGTTTTCTTTCTCAGTTATATTAAGTAACATATGTAGTAACGTGTTAACGCGTTTTAATTTTAAAATAAATTGAAATTATTTCTATTTTTAGTACAATTCGGTCAAGGTATACAATTAAGCGCCTTCACCACCAAAACACCTAGAATTACTAAATACACCACTAAATCGCCAGCGGTAAGAATATCAGTTTTTTTCGCTTTTGACCCTTAAACAGATTTCATGTAAAAAGAGTTAATTTATAATTGCAGTCGTCATCCATAAATCATGACGCTACCACTTCTATTTATCGTTTCAATGCTACGAACGGTATAACATGCATTTTGATCAGTGTTGATGGCTTAATTAGCATCAAATATCGTAATAAATTAAATGAAGATGTTGAAGCCGATCTTTATTTGCCCGACAATCCGATATTAAGTGGCGAATGCGAAGAATCCAATATGGAAATTTTGACATTGGAATTTAAAGGATTCAAGCTAACCATGATATTTCGAAAGGTAACAATTGCAAAAAATGGTTGCAATCTATTTTTCACTAAAGTGAAAAGCGTGAATGCGTTTAATTATGTCTCTCAGACAGTTAGGCCAGAAAGGCAGATATTCGTTTATTGCCTATCGAATAACTCTCGAGTCTCGAGTAGCGGGCTTAAAAACTTTCAATATTGTAGCTAACCTTTAAACGCAATTATATTGAAAAGCAATTTATTTGGTGTTTTTTTTTTTTTATGAAAAGGGGGAATTTTTAACTATCGGAAATTTCTTCTATATAAACGCAAAAAAAAAAAAAAATCCTTTATATCGCATTAAGATCTGACTAATGAAAATATGAATTTATTCTGCTAAATTTCGATTATTTAACTGCGTTACATAAGGCACTTTTACCCATATTAACGTTATTGTAAGATTGTAAGGATAAGACCATAATGACCTGATTCATAAATTTTTATGTCGAAGCTTATTAAAATATACATATATATATATTTCGCTATCAACTTAAAGGGAAATGCAATCAGAAAATCAAAAAAAAAAAAAAAAAAAAAAGAGAACAAAATTGAGATTCCTTATCAAAAAAAAAAAAAAAAAAAAAAAAAACTACGGATAAACGAAAAGATGAATTTTTTTTTTTATTTCTTCATTATATGACTTCAAACACTATTTTTAGTCCTCTGGAGGAGAAGGCTGGTATATTAACCAATTCAAGTTGGACTATTCATCTTCGAATTCTATCTTCGAACATATCGATCGTCCGGACATAGATGTAAAACTGACCTCACCCTCACGTACGCCCATGTACTTTCCCACACCAGTGGGTAAATCATATGTCTGCGATAAAGAGCAAAAGGTTGTTATGTATGCTCCGGATGATTCAGGCGATCAATCAGGTCATATCGCACACTTGTATTTGCGTGATTTACATATGCAGAGCTTTATGTTTAAAGAAAGCGGTAAATGGGGACCATCATTTCATTGCAGTGCCACCGGTTCGTATAGAGATGAAACCGCTCCATTGGCCGTAGGTACTGCCTTAGCGGTAGCTGTTTTATTAATCATTTCCGGTTATGGCGGTTGGAGGTATATATCAAATAATTGATGAATAAGTTTCGATGTACTCCCCCTCTTTTACTCCTTCATTTTAATTTTTCTATTTTACATTTTTTATATATTTATAGGTATTTTAAAATCAAAAAAGTCCAATACGGTTCAATGGAGTGAACGAATTAATCTCTACAAAAGTGTATGTATCATTTCTGTTATAGTAAATTTTAGGAAAACAAGCCTAAAAGCAATGTTTAAAATAGTTAAAAGAAATCGTTTTCATTTCGAGCGGCGGAAAATGTGTGTAAAGATTTTCATTTAATTTATTCATGAAAATATTTTTTTTAATTTGTTTTTCTCCCTTTTATTGAATAATGAAAAAAAATATATCACATATTAATTATAATAATATAGTAACACGTATATCATATATATATTTATCATATATATATATATAAATAATGATATATTAAAAGAGAATTGCAGATGTCTTCCATATTATTAAAAGATTATTAATATTAAAATAATAAAAAAAAAAAAAACAGATAATAAAAGAAACAAGTAAGTAATAATAACAATTTGCACTAAGTAAATGAAAAAGGTAATGAACTGTTCAATTTTCATACTCATCATCGGAAGAATTATTAATCCAGTCCCTAGAATAAATAAAGTTCAATAATTTGTCGCCAGATCGTTGAAATAACTAAAAATAAGGAGAAAGTTACATGAAGAGAAAAAATTAATATCAAAATATTCGTAATTCGGATTTTTCATCGCTTAAGGTGATACAATACGAAAAAACCTTTGATCGTCTCTAATTAAAGATTTTGGAAGCTTGATGCTCCTATATTCATTTGAATCAAGCAAGTACTTCGATCTTTTGATATTTTTTAAAATGCATAAGACACGGATAACGACATCAACGACGAGCTGTTTTCACGCTTTCTTTATAAATGTATATTTATTTTGAAAAGAAAATTTTCCTATTCAACAACATTCAGCATAACAATATAAGCTCGGGCTCAATTTTTTTTTTTTATTAATTTTTCACTTTTCGTGAATTTTTTGAAAATAAACGAAAAAGGCGACAGATATCAATATGCGTTAGCAGTGAGTTTTAATCTTAGTGATGGGTATCGATGATTTGCCCACTGTCGAATATAACTTTAGTCTTCGTTTGTTAAATGTTTCATTAAAGCACTTTGATTTTAACTCTTGATGTTGTTTGTCATACAAAAAACCTAAAGAAAACAAAAGACAATTAAATAAAGAAAAGTTAATGATAATAAAATAAAAAAATCCTATAATCGTGAACTATAAATTTTCGATTTAAAACAACACAAAAATGAGGAAAAGGAAAAAAAAAAATAAAAAGAAAAAGAAGTGTATATTAATTTAATTTTAAGTGTTAAGCTGTTGAAGGTTCGTATCTTTAAAATTGTAAAATAATTTAATTAATCATAATACTACAAAAAAAAAAAAAAAAAAAATTGAAATTTTATTCAATAAATATAGCAATCAGTAATGAAACGGTCACTAAGCTATCACTACCTGAAGGTGGAATGGACAATGGGCAACGGGGGATCGGGGAATCGGGGGATCGGGGGAACGGGCAAGGAACTTAATAAATATTTTTCGTCAACATTTGACGAAACAAGTAAAATAACGCAATACTAACATTATTATTATATGTTTGATTGTTTGATTCTAAAGTTCTCGTTTACACCCTACGCAAGGTAATAATCATTAGATTAGTGCGGATATATGCTTACGGCCCAGATGAATTTGAGGTAGACCCATCTGCTATTATAACGATCGATTCAGAATCAGTTTGTGAATATATCAGAACTTATATGGCGTCTGTCCATTTGCCTTTCTTGTTTTCCTGCGTGCAACCTAGCGCTCGTAACTCTTGAGATATTTTCATAAAATTTGATGCATTGACATAGTTTAGCCCAGGAACGAACGCTATTAAAAATGGTTCGGAACAGTTTTCCGGCCACTACCCACGTATAGCGTTATTTTAAAATGCCGTTAAATGAATAACTGTATCAAGCGAAGTGCTTTAGTGTACTGTACACTGTTGGGCCGTGTTCCATTATAGTGCGTTTACTTGATTTTTTTTAATTCGTTTCTAAAAAAAAAACCGACAATTTTTTTGTAAAAAGCTTTATATTAAATTTTGTATGTTAAGTAAATTACCCTCAGCTATAACAGGCCAAAATTAAGAAATATTTTACGAAGAACTTACGAACTAAACATATTCTTAATTAGTATAGCACTGTTTTCGTTATGCCCGTCCAGGGCACCAATTCAGTATTCTCAGTATTAAGGCGAGTATGATGAGTTTTAAAAAAAAAAGGCTTGTATTACAGCGAACAGGGGCTTATTGCCCTACATTACATTTAATTAATAATAAATTATTTTGTTGAGATTACGCGCTGGAGATTTTTATTTCTTCAAAATTCTTCTATCTATCCTCGGTTGGGTTCGCTTGTGTAACAAACAAAATATAGCCCTACAAAGTGCCCGGCAGGAAAAACGGAATGAACAGTCAATTTTAATCGATATAATTATACTCCATGAGAGAGACTGAACTCCGCGTTCAACAGGCAACTTTCATGTAAGAACTTGATAATGTGTAGATTAATCTTTAAATCGAGAGCGAGCGACGCTTATCGCCGAGATTGTTTTTTCGTTAACTTCTCGAAAGTATTTCAAACTCACCTTCTAAAAAAATTCGACTTTATACTCGTCAAGGCTTTCGAAATATTTACTTCATTCTCGAACTATTTGAACGAATTGTAATTGACTGGGGAATAGTAAAAAGTTCGGCTGTAATATTTCGCAACAACTATAATATATTTACTTATCGAGATGATTACGACGACCGTAGGCTCCCAGGAAAAAAGGATTCCGTCCTACTGCTGCCTTTAAGGAAAGATTTTTAAATTTACGAGCATTTTAAAAGACAACATTGTTACATGCGTAAATGCAAAGCCTTGAAAAATTCCGTTATTAAAATTACGGAATATGTCACAATTAAATCGAACGAAAAAAAAAAAAAGATGCACTTCCATGAAACTTTTATATAGAAATGACAAGATATGATATCAATAATTCGGGAATGATTCTAATCTTGTCAAAAAAATAGTACAGAAAAGTGAAAGTTTTTTTAAAAATATTTTCTTTGACTTTTACCCTGTAAAAAATTATTATACGAATTATTTAAAAATTCAAGATATCAATGATTTCGGGCGGATTTTGTGACACAAATTGAACAAATTGGAAGAATGTGTGTCGACTGTAGTAATCCAAGTCACCTTAATGAATTTCGTCTGTCAATATGTTCGTTCCAAACTTGATAAGTTGTTCCTTTATTTAAGTCCGCAATGTTAATTTTGAAAAGGCCTTAAAATGCTAAAAATTTTTGCAAACTGAAATAAAGAAAGAAACAGAGAGAGAGAGAGAGAGAGAGAAAGAGAGAGAGAGAGAGAGTTTAATGCAAAATTAGTGCTGATGCGCTGATGCATATACCTATTAATAAATGGGTACAATTTTTATGCATGTGCACTTCATATTCAATATTCATTTCGAAGTCAATTTATGTTTCTTACTCGTTTTATTTACTCATCTTCTGTACTTAAAACAAGATACTAGATGAGTGCCTGCAAAAATTGGACTTTAATTAGCAAATATTTTATATCAAAGTAATGGATTTGGAAATTTCTTATTGTAGCGAACGGAGTTTTCGCATTTATTATTCGCATGAAATGGATGAAAGCATCGACGCTTTTCAAACATTAATCTAGTCGTGAAATTATATATGCTGCCAATTGTAGAACTGATCACAGCTGCATTAGTTAATAAAAAAAAATCATATATTTTTTTTCCAAGTATATGTGAATTACGTCTTCTCTACTGCTAGGTAGTGATACTTCAGCGGTGCTTATTTTGCTTAATCAAAGTTAGAAGAAAAAAAAAAAAAAAAAAAAAAAAAACAAAAGAAATGAGAATAAAAATGGAAATCATATAAAAAGTGCAAATGTACTCCTATATGAAAAATATGTACATGATATAGATATATATCTATATATATATAAAACTATGTCCAACATTTAATTTCGTTTCGTCAAGCACAAACTGGGATTGATACCTAAACAGATCTCTAAGCAAAATCCACATCAAGTTCACTTTTTTTCGTATATTTACACCAAAAAAAAATTAAAAAAGAAAAATCATTTTAAATCAAAAAAAAAAAAAAAAAAAAAAAAAAAAATAGTAACAACAATAACAATAATATTTATATGAATAAATACTCCCTACTAAAATGTAATCAAATGCTTACAATAAAACTTATTTAAATTCTAGTTGATTATTTCTTTTACATTTTTTATATATAGGTCAATTTTTTTAATTGCTTTAATAAATTATTAAAAATTAACTTATTATTATTATTATTATTATTATGTGAAAGTATTAATTCTTTAAAAAATATTTCAAAATTCTTTGAATAAAAGTTGCGATCGATCACATCAATAAAACCGAAAAACTGCAAATAAGCATTTTTGTCTATATATATGTTATAAAAACAACAACAAACAGTCACGAGTAGTCACTCATTCATTCGCTTACTCACGTATTCACTTGTCCTGGTTCGAGATTTTGCTTATTTACGTAAACATATGCATAAAAGAGCGCTTGTAATGCTTAACACACACACACACACACACACATACACAAGCATGCATATACGCATATATATATATATATACGGGCATACGCAATTACATACATACACAGATATGCATTTGCTTTTCATAGGCAGCATAATGTTTAAGCGTCAATCTTGTTTCCCTTGTTTTAAGTGGCAAAACATTTACTTACGCAATACTTTCAATTTAAGTGGAGAAAATTGAAAGAAAACAAATTCAAGGGATTGCTTATCACAAGGTTGTATGTTGTTTAATAGCACAATAGAAAGAAAATCTCTTTACTCGGATACCGTATCGTAAACATTACATTTCTTAATTATTACAAATTCATGTCAAATAACGTAAAAGAAATACGGTCCAATTAATAGACTGCTTTTAACTTTCATCACTGCAGAGATTTATGGTGCAAACCACTGCACAATATACGATCAATATGTTGCTTGGCTGGTTGGTTGTGAACAGGTAAGGCCTTGTGTGGAATCTACGATAGACACCTTCTTTGATAAATATGATGTCCCCGCTTAGTTTCTTACCGAAATGCTGACATCTTCCATGTTTACTTCCATAATTACTTTTCCGTTTGCAAACGCGAAACGTCATGCAATTAGTAAAAGCAAAAATTCCCGTTAATATTTGATGAAGAAATCGAGATCGATAACGTGA